GAAAAATCTTCATTAATAAATTTTGTTATATGACCACATATAGTTTTGATTTACATAGTGCATCGCGCACCCCAATGATGCATGCCTCAAGTTCACGAAAAGTCTATGGACAGTTATTAGGGACAGTGCAAAATCACGTGATAGTTAATTTCACTAGAAACCTATAAATTTTTTCTAGATTAGAAATATGATCTTATAGTCACACGGACCTATACATTTAGAGAAGGTTTTTAAAATTTTTATTCGAGCAAACACGACGCACTAACGATTCAAATTAAAAAAAGTGGTTTAAACAAATTACATGATACTTATTTACATTTATAATACTCCGATATAGCTGACCACTTTGCCAAAAGTTCTGATAATTTTAGATGAATAAATTTTTGATAAACCTTTTTTTTGTTGATTAATGGTTCGGGTGGAGCTCCATCATCAAACCGACTGGCCAGCAACCCAAAATTAGCATCAATATTCTCTAAACATTTTCGCAATTTCTTAATTTCAATAACAAATTTTACTACAGATTCAGCATCTCACAGAATAGTAAGTCCAACTCTAGCTGTAGGACGGACCGGAATACTGACATCGATCAACGCTTGTCTTATTTTAATTGGACTGTAAGTGAAATCATATATATGTGCAATTAACCTCTCATTATGAACTTGCAGAGTCACATATTCGATCCCCTCAAGTAACTTTTGAACAGATAGCGACATATATGAAGGATTAAAATTATGACGAATATAGGCTCCAGACATTAACATTGCTAACTTAAGCTTTATTTCATCACATTCTTTCTTATTAAAAGATGAACTCGCAGGTTTACTTGATTCAAGTGATCCTACTTCCATCTTGAATCGAGAGAGTATGCTTTCACATATTAGTTGTCCATCAGGACGTATTCCATTTGTTGTATTACCGGTTTCTGAAAAATGTTCAGCATTCAAATTGACGAATACAAACTCACTTTCACTAATATAATTATCACTGTTCGAACATGATGATGATGAAATAGTTGTGAGATTTGATGGTGAAGATAATTCTCTACTAGCTTCTCGGCTCGACTCCGTAAAAGATTCATCCCTATGTTAAAACATATTAGTAAATGACAAATAAAAAATATAATTAAATTATTATACAAACGTACATTTTAAATTTTAGGTATTTCAGACCTGAAACCAGAACTCTGAATATCGGATACAAAACTTCTATATGCCAAGATTTTTCGGACATATCTTCTATATTAAAACCCACAAATTTCTCCTGTATAGTTTTGCTGCAAGAAGTGTTAAAATATGAAAGTACAAGTTTAAGGTGAATCTTAATTTAAATATACTTACAATGTATTTAAAAATTCAACAATCCATGGCTCAACTGTCACATCGTCAGATATTTGTCTGATTTATAAATAAAATATTTGAAAATCTCAAACGATCTGAAATCTGTAACACTAAACGAGACAATATTAATGATCAATATTATTTTATAGTAGATAATCCAATTTCTTACCCCGATAGTCATCTTAGTATTCATGTTACTGAGTGGATTAAAACCCATATTAATGATATGAAGTGCGCTGAACTTGACGATGTTGAGGATGAGCCATGGATTGTTGAATTTTTAAATACATTGTAAGTATATTTAAATTAAGATTCACCTTAAACTTGTACTTTCATATTTTAACACTTCTTGCAGCAAAACTATACAGGAGAAATTTGTGGGTTTTAATATAGAAGATATGTCCGAAAAATCTTGGCATATAGAAGTTTTGTATCCGATATTCAGAGTTCTGGTTTCAGGTCTGAAATACCTAAAATTTAAAATGTACGTTTGTATAATAATTTAATTATATTTTTTATTTGTCATTTACTAATATGTTTTAACATAGGGATGAATCTTTTACGGAGTCGAGCCGAGAAGCTAGTAGAGAATTATCTTCACCATCAAATCTCACAACTATTTCATCATCATCATGTTCGAACAGTGATAATTATATTAGTGAAAGTGAGTTTGTATTCGTCAATTTGAATGCTGAACATTTTTCAGAAACCGGTAATACAACAAATGGAATACGTCCTGATGGACAACTAATATGTGAAAGCATACTCTCTCGATTCAAGATGGAAGTAGGATCACTTGAATCAAGTAAACCTGCGAGTTCATCTTTTAATAAGAAAGAATGTGATGAAATAAAGCTTAAGTTAGCAATGTTAATGTCTGGAGCCTATATTCGTCATAATTTTAATCCTTCATATATGTCGCTATCTGTTCAAAAGTTACTTGAGGGGATCGAATATGTGACTCTGCAAGTTCATAATGAGAGGTTAATTGCACATATATATGATTTCACTTACAGTCCAATTAAAATAAGACAAGCGTTGATCGATGTCAGTATTCCGGTCCGTCCTACAGCTAGAGTTGGACTTACTATTCTGTGAGATGCTGAATCTGTAGTAAAATTTGTTATTGAAATTAAGAAATTGCGAAAATGTTTAGAGAATATTGATGCTAATTTTGGGTTGCTGGCCAGTCGGTTTGATGATGGAGCTCCACCCGAACCATTAATCAACAAAAAAAAGGTTTATCAAAAATTTATTCATCTAAAATTATCAGAACTTTTGGCAAAGTGGTCAGCTATATCGGAGTATTATAAATGTAAATAAGTATCATGTAATTTGTTTAAACCACTTTTTTTAATTTGAATCGTTAGTGCGTCGTGTTTGCTCGAATAAAAATTTTAAAAACCTTCTCTAAATGTATAGGTCCGTGTGACTATAAGATCATATTTCTAATCTAGAAAAAATTTATAGGTTTCTAGTGAAATTAACTATCACGTGATTTTGCACTGTCCCTAATAACTGTCCATAGACTTTTCGTGAACTTGAGGCATGCATCATTGGGGTGCGCGATGCACTATGTAAATCAAAACTATATGTGGTCATATAACAAAATTTATTAATGAAGATTTTTC